TGTTCATTCCTAAACCCTGGGTTAACGTTATTATTTGCAGATGTATGGTGTCAGCTTCCTTTTATTATATATTGCCAACTGAACTATCAATTTTTTTATAAATGGACTTTTCGGGCGACTATAAAGGAAAGAATCTTCTTCACTCCAATTGATTTATTATTTATTTATAGGGGGATTTATTTAATAAATTTTCCATCACCCTCAAATGCTGAAATGACTGTTTATACAACATGCACTGTTGCTGTGATGATCCAAAACACATATATGAGTCTGTTGCTAAGGATCTGGTTGTAAGGTTCTAACACAACACATCATTTTACACTGTACAAGTTTGGCACTGCAATGTGGGGTTAACACCACACATCCACAAATGGGGTTTCATAACCCCACTTCTAAATTAAAAATGTGAAATGTACCTTTACCCAGGGTGAAGCAGGGTTTAGAATGATGATAACCCAGGGTTAAGCACAGTGTGATAAGCCTTATAGAAGTCTTAAAGCTATAGTAGCAAAAAAAGCCTGTTTAATTCTTAGAGTTAAAGAGAGGATGGTTAAATGTTCATTAAAGAAAATAAATTATGATGCATGTAAGTGGACTTGCATAGGTGGCTTGTAGAATGTATATTGCAGTAAAAAAATGCAGTATTGACTAAATTGCTTCATCCCCTGAAATCCCTTGTCTCCATATGGACAGTGTCCCCTCACCTCCAGTCAACAACATCTGTCGTCTCCCATGCTCATGTCACAAGACATTTCTCCAGCCACCGGCTCATGCATACAGAGCACCTCATCAGCTTTCCAGAGCCCTTGGGAAAAGAACAAAAACTCAACTTTTATTAATCATTCTATCACACCAATAGAAAGCTGTCCCAACGTGATGGCTTTTTGTCGACTTTAATCAATCTCTGCCAGGACTCAACAATAAGAATGTTTTCTTTTGTTTGTTTTTTTTCCTGGCATGATCAGGCCAGATGTCAGACATCTGACAATGTTTTCTGGCCCTATCATAAAATAAAAAAATGGATGTAGTGAGTGACAGAAAATATGTTTTATATAAAATTGTACTGAATTGTAGAAATGAGCAAACTGCTCTGTCACTGTACCGTCTGTGATTGCATGTGTATATCATGGATATATTTTAAATATGCACTATATGAAGTGGCTGATCTCCATAAGACTTTATTTCATTTCCTCTTTCTCACACCAATACCATTCTGCTTTACCCACATTAGAAGCAGGTGTCTTTGGGATTTAGTTAAATAATGAAACTTGATATTCTTGCGGATATTCTCTGAACATCTGAGTCCCATCTGTGGCAGAGACAGCCCTCATCTTCCAACTTTCATTTTCTCAGGCGTTGAGTTTCATACCTGCATTCACTGAAACCGCCCCCATTACAAACACTTAGATTGCAGGTACCATAATAGGTTGCTGCTGCCACAAAGCTCTTTGTAATGAAACTGTCATCCCCTATTGGACGGAATACATGTAGTGCATGACTGTGATCTTTTCCCCTTTAACCGTCTGTTGAATGTTTTTCTCTCTTTGGACTTTTGATTCTGCTATGATCTTTTCCCCTTTAACCGTCTGTTGAATGTTTTTCTCTCTTTGGACTTTTGATTCTGCTATGAATTATGCTATAGTCAGGTACCACTCACATAGCTACAGATTGTTTTTCAGCTTGCTCCGGGAAACAAATTGGGACAGGAAATCCCAGAGGGTTACAGCAGAATGAAAAATGTGGTTATGCGTGAGTAAGCCTGCTGTCTATTTGAGAGAAAACAGAAACATTTGCTGAACTGTTTTGCCAGATCTTTTTGGCAGGTTTTGATGTTTAATTTTGGAGCACTCTGTTGAGAAACTTTGGGGCTCAATCCTTAGTCAGGAGTCCCAAGAGAATTTGTTATACAGCAATTAAGACTGTTCATTCTGTAACTGTTTAACTAGTAATGAATACATATCAATCAAACATTAAAAGCCTGTCACACAGGCTTCATTTAATTTGCCCTCTTCATCAAGGGCTGTTCAATCCTGCTCAGCGAGATCTATCATTATTCAGAACCCTGCTTTAACACACCTGTGTGTAATTTTTAATGAACCCCAAAATCCTCAGGTGTGATTGATTAGAGTTGGATCTAAACTCTGCGGTAATCTAGATCTAGGAATGAGATGGTGTCCCACAGGGCTCAGTGTTAGTGCTTTTACTTTTCTGTTGATACATTAAATCTCTCTGCACTGTCGCCCAGTAGCATGTGTTTTCTTCTTGCTGCTTTGCTGATCACATGCAGGTGTACATTTTTTTTGTCTCCATCTGTTTTTTTCAGAGAACATTACACCCTCTCTGACATATAGACCTTGAGGACTACTCACCTCACGGTCTTAAAAAAATGGCTTCCTTTTCCTTCCAGCCAAAATTTTTCACCCACTGGTGTGTTAAACCATAGAAGTCACCCCAGAAGACCATTTGTGGACAATATTGCAGCAGCTGTCTGTTCAAATCATTCACCATATCATAAGCAAAATCAGGCCCTTTCTGGACCCCATTTCCACTCAGCTCCTTTAATTTTCAGTCATTCCAAAAGTAGACTACTGTCAGATGTCCCCTCAAGTGCACCAAGAATGTAGATGTTCAGTTGTGTGAAACCTCTGGAAATACTGTCATTTTCACCTCTGCTCAAGTGCCCTCACTAGCTGTCAGTTCCTGCCAGAATCAATCAAGATTCTGGCCTGCAATGGTACCAGTGGCCTGAATGATCTTTTGTGAAGCTGTACACATTTGTCCAGTGTTTCCTACAGAATTCTACTTCTGTCAACACTTCTTTATATATGGTATTGGTTGACTAGCCTCAACTGGCTTGGATAACTAGCCTCAAACATTACACATAAAAAAACAACAACAAAAAACTAGAGATGGGCAAGTTGCTATGCTATTGGCTTCTAGTAGGGGTTAATATTTGGTGGCGGATCATGTGAGGTCCACTCCAATTGCTTTGCTTTTGCATGAAATTGGAGCTCAACTTTGTTTAATACTTACTGTATGGTAGAGTCTGTGACATGATGTCATGATCTATGAAATAAAATATTTAGAGAAAATAGTGTTTTTCCATTCAGTTGTTTCCTTTGCTCTGTTGGTATCTGGAGTGTGAGTTTTGATTTACATCTATTCAGAGGTTCTGGGGTGATTAGAGTATATATATATATATATATATAAATGATGAACCTATACACTGCACCTGCAGTTGGTAGTGATGCTTTCACTCTCATTTCTCTAATATAGATTCATAAGCTGAATCATGGACATTAATATGGATATTTGGATTTGTACTAGTTTGTGAACTTTTGAGGCTTTATCAGAGACATGGACATTATTTTTTGAAGATGAATTACAGAATAAATGAATGCATGAATGAATGAATGAAGAATTTAGCCAACCAAAATCCCATGAAAAACAGGAATCATTTATAAATATGAAAATTTTATGCAACAATTAATATGCCTGTATGACACACTCTGTGTGTGATGTATCACAAACATGTTTTCTGAGAGCTGTAAGCATTATACTAACAGATGGTATGACTGGCTCAGTCTCAATTGAATGAGTAATGGTAGGATATCTTTACTCAGCTTCTCATGCTCCTTCTTATCTGTGAAATCACCAGGATATCACTTTCCAATGTCTACATTAGCAGCTACCTTATAAGGCAGCATCCTAACCAATTATGTGCCCTTATGAGTGAATGATTTGATAGCTGATTGTGCCTTTTATTGTTTTAGACCCCATTATTATTGTTTTTCTTATTATAGTATTACCTATTATTGTTTTTGTTGTATGGGGAAAAAAATGAATAGTGAAAAATTCTTCATAATATTTTCTTTCGTGTGAAATATATTGTTAACTTATAAAGACCAGTCATTGGAGAAACACAAATTATCATGCAGAGTACACAGTGTCGGTTGATTCCAATTGGGATTTGATGTTAGCATGGTATTATGCTAACAGTGTGCCTAAAATCTTGTTTTTGTTATATGAAGGTCATATCTCTTTTGGAAACATACTATACTACAGCCAAACTAGTTCCAGCCTGGGTGCTTGATGTTTACATGATCATTTCTTGTTGCGTTATATGGAAATAATGTCGTTTTTTGGTTAGTTTTAGACATGCTGGAATGCTGAATTATCAGGAAATCAGACCATACACATTTGTGCACACACATTTTAAGAGTGTATTTCTGGTTTGGGGATGTGTGTGTATGACTGCAGCTGTAAGCTCGGTAATGAGAGTAGTCTAATGAGAGGAGACAGATCTGTACTTACGGCATTAGTTAGCTTGGCTCAATGTCCCAGCAAACACACACCCATCCCAGCTAAATGTATCCTGCTTAGCTATTCTCCTGGTTCAATGTTAAAAGAACAAATAAGAGAAAAACACATACATAAATAACAATCATTCATTACTGATGCCTTTAATATCCTTGAAAGCACAATATGTTTTACACTCTTGTGAACAAACTTGCAGTCTACTGCTTACATAGGCAGCTACCTTGTAAGGTATCATCCTAAATGATATGGAACCTCAAAGGGAGTGATTTGGAACACCGAAAACTTTCTAAATGGTCAGTCATGCATGCCAAATAGGGCTCCTTGTGTAAGATTCAGTATCACATTAGTGTAATGTTAGCATGTTGCTAAGCTAACAACACAATACTCTAAGCACAAAACATATACAACACAAGCAAATATTGTTCATACTCAAATCTCTTCGACATCAGAACATGACCTTTTACATTATTTTTGTGTTATTTTTATGTTTTTATTGTAGCTTTTACACTTACATTTAAGGTGTACAATTGTATCTCGATTTATCCATTTCCTTATACTCTCCTAAAAGTTTTTTTTTTTATTAATAATGTGCTTTTATTGCACCAGGAGCATCTTAATGTTCACAAGATTGAAGTATGACTGGAATAACCATTACCCTTCTCTGTCTCTTTGTTGTGCAGGACTCAGATTAATTTCACAGTGGCGATTGATTTCACAGCTTCTAACGGTGAGTGCCGTCTCTGTCAGAAGGCTGATGGAATTATTGAAATGTATGCAGATGAGGCATGAAAAAGGGCTAGTAATAGCTGTCCTCTATCATAATCAGTGAGGTTTAATGCGATAAAGAGCTCTGATCTGTGTGATTATACTGAGATGCCTGCCTTTTTACATTCATTTGCAGATTCAAAGGGAATACCACAAAACCAACTCAATTACAGGGCCATCCTGGCAAATCTATTTTTATACATCACTAGCTTTCATAATTTTTTTCTTCTGGATTCGTGATATCAGCCTCTCAGAGTACACAAAGAGCAAAGAGAGGGGAACTTACAATTTTATATTTATATATTTATATATACTACCATATTTTAGGTCCCTTAACTCTACCCCATGCCTAAACATAACTACTACAACAACTACCTTACTACCAATAAGCACTAAACTGTTCAAACCATTGAACAGTTTCATAATGATTTTGAATATATCTTATTGGTCGTAAATAACTGTGAACATTGTTACATTATATTAGTAGTATCCATAGTTATACTGTTAGAATATATTATGCATTGAAATACATCATAAAGCAAGACCATATTTAATGCGTCACATAATGCTATTGTAAGTTATAATGTATTATACTATTCAGTAGTGTAGCCATGAATATGTGCAGTTTCTACTTTAAACGTGGTTGACAATTAAATTAAGTTGCACTAAAAGTACACATTTTCTTCCATATGGTTCCCAGGCAACCCAGCCCAACCCACTTCCCTCCATTACATGAATCCTTATCAGCTCAACACCTACGCCATGGCACTCAAAGCCGTGGGGGAGATCATACAGGACTATGACAGCGACAAGATGTTCCCCGCACTGGGTTTCGGAGCCAAGCTGCCTCCTGATGGGAGAATATCCCATGAGTTTGCCCTGGTAAGCAGTTCTTAAAACACCTGTCCTGCAGAGATAGACATAAGAGATCCAGTTTGTGAGGACACAAGTCTTGGATATCTTTTCCTGAATGTTATATTCGCTTGTGTTGCCTCTAGGCAGAACAATACACAAAGCTTTCAATTTCAGAACTGGTTTTTAGAGATGGGCACTTGACAGATTCCTACATTCTCTAGAAAACTCTATTCTTATATTGCTAGTATTTTTTTCTGAGTCCATAACATCTGTTGTACTTTTTTATTCCCTATTCTCATATTGAAAGAAACAAATTGGAATGACACAAGAGCTGGATGTTGCCTGGTGTTTGTGTTGTAGAGAGAGTGAACTGAAGGCTTTTGTGTTTAAAAATTTACAAATGTTCACCTTGTGAATGAGGAAACTGGCAAAAAAACATCTGTAGCCTTTACGCTGAAAGAGGAACCTGAGCTGGGTCTAGAGACCAGAATATTATAGAGACTAGGGGGTGGGTATTTTTGACTTGGGCTAGAAAGTAACCACTTAGCAGCTACCCTAGCAACTGCAATGTAATGCATAAAAAATCTGAATACCTTAGCAATTATATAACATCACATACCACCCTAGCATCCACCCACAACATTTGCATAGAAGCGCAAAAGAAAAAAAACTAATAACAACTAAAAACAACCACATAGCAATGTTCTGGCAACCACCCAAAACACCCCACCAACCAAATAGCAACGCACTAAAAAACACTTCATAGCAACCACATAACACCGTTGCAACCCTAAAAGTGGAAGCATTTTATTCAAAGAATGTAAACATCTATTTATGTCTCTAAAATGTGGAATTTCCATTGTGAGTTATCACATCTCCACCAGATGTTGAACCATGAGACCCTGTCTGTTTGATTATTTGATTTCACATTAGTTCATTTTTTCTTTGTTCCTACAGAATGGAAACCCTCAGAATCCATATTGCAATGGCATTGATGGAGTCATGGAGGCATATTACCAGAGTCTAAAATCAGTTCAGCTCTACGGTCCTACCAACTTCTCACCTGTCATTAACCATGTAGCTAGGTACGTTCAAAACATTTCATAAACAAAGACATAATGTGCATGCGTACATACATAAGTATGTAGTGCTTTTTTTACAGGCATTCATGTATTACTATTGTGGTAACAAACCTCATTACTTAAAATCATCATGAAGTCTAAATTCGGAAATTATAATTTTTTTATGGAATGCTGCAGTGTTTACTAATTTGCTTAGCCATATTCCTGAAAGAGACTATGGTAAATGGCAATGGTAAGAAAGCAACACATCCTTTAAGACTGCAATCTGACATATTTCATAACACAACAATGCACAAAATCAGGCTTGCGTAGATCAGATAATTGAGCGTAAACACAAAATAAGTGTTTACAATCACATTGTTGCACAGCATTGCAGGCTTTTTTCATAGTCTAATAGTTTAGATAATTCAAGTAATCTAAATGTATGGGTTGTGTACCTTTTCTTATTACTTTACTCTCTAAAATAGTTGGTAACATTTTAGTATAGGGATCAATTCTCACTATTAACTAGTTGCATATTATCATGCCTATTAATAAAATTTTGGCTGTTTATTAGTACTTATAAAGCATTTATTCTACTTGAACATATTCTACATCCCTAATCCTATGCAATACCTGAATTTATAAGCTAGGTAATTAACTATTAATAAACAGCTAATTAGTTGTTTACTGAGGCAAAAGTCGTAGTTATAATGGTTTGTTAATGGCAAGAATTGGACCTTAAAATATAGTTTGACCAAATAGGTTATTCTGTTTGGTAAATCACAGAACTGAGTGGTGAAATATTTTTGCGTATTGACCATAACATTAAATATATTGGTTCTACCTTTTTTATGGACTTTCATGCCTATATATGTCATCTATCTTTTCATGTCAGTGGAAGTTTAGATGCTAATTTGAGCCATTTTGCAACTCAAAGAAGTGACTACTGACTGTAATAAAAATACCCTTGGAAAACCGTGTTCATTTTATTATATTTGGTGAACATTCAAACTTTTTGAGATGGCTAGACAAATTAGTGTAAAGTTGAATGCTCCTTCCATTGCTGAAATGAACCAAAACGGCAACAAACTTGCAATGATTGAGAGTTACAATATTATTCAGCAAACAATTTAGGTTTTGCACATTTTCAGAGGATGACAACAGCTAAACATTCTCACCCAGGTGCAACATCCAAACAAAGTGTGTGACAGTAACACAGAGATAATCAAATACAAAATGGCCTTCGAGGCACAATATATGACCTTTAAATCACTTTAAATGAGCCGTGGAACTAGACTTGCAGAGGTGAGACTATGAGATTTGATCACATGCTGCCCCAAATAAGATCATCCCAGGTCTGTATCGTCCATCAAGTGATGTGAGGAAAAACATTAAATGGCCATCATAAATGTGACACAATGGCCTGAAAATTAGATCTCTATAATACCCACACAGAAAACATATTCAGTATATTCAGAAATTCAAACAGTAGATTTAATTTACTTCATTTAATCAACACGGGAAAAAATTATAACCTAAATATGGTAACATGTAAATTAACTGGTTTTATTTAAATTTAATTTAATTTAATGTTTAAAAAAAATGTTTAGCATTACTGAATCAAACTAAATGCATTGTTGTACCAACAATGTTAATTTCAATCAGGTAAGAGTTAAATTGGGTAAAAAAAAAAATCTCTCGTCCATCAAGTGATGTGAGGAAAAACATTAAATGGCCATCATAAATGTGACACAATGGCCTGAAAATTAGATCTCTATAATACCCACACAGAAAACATATTCAGAAATTCAAACAGTAGATTTAATTTACTTAATTTAATCAACACGGGAAAAAATTATAACCTAAATATGGTAACATGTAAATTAACTGGTTTTATTTAAATTTAATTTAATTTAATGTTTAAAAAAAATGTTTAGCATTACTGAATCAAACTAAATGCATTGTTGTACCAACAATGTTAATTTCAATCAGGTAAGAGTTAAATTGGGTAAAAAAAAAAATCTCTTTAAGGTAAAAAATTGCAGGTGATCACTTTTTGGACTTTTTTATATTTTTATTCTTTGTAATATATTTTTTGATACTTTTCCACCCAGAATCCAGTTGGAAAACTATTTTACACTATTAGAGGTCAGAATAAAATATCTTGAGGACACTTTTTACAGCTTGTGGGGCTGTGAGAACCTGAGTGTCTATATCTCTTTTGTATAAAACATAATAATTAATAAGATCACTGTCGCCCCATGGACTGTTTTGTTTTGTGTTTGTTTTCCTCCCCCACGTACTCCATGTTCTCCCTTTGACCTAGATTCTCCCTCATGTTAATTATGTTTATTCGTTCCAGGTGTTTCTTGTAAGCTTCCTCGTCTAGTTTGTTGTATTTATGCCCTGTGTTTCTCTTTAAGGTAAAAAATTGCAGGTGATCACTTTTTGGACTTTTTATATTTTTATTCTTTGTAATATATTTTTTGATACTTTTCCACCCAGAATCCAGTTGGAAAACTATTTTACACTATTAGAGGTCAGAATAAAATATCTTGAGGACACTTTTAACAGCTTGTGGGGCTGTGAGAACCTGAGTGTCTATATCTCTTTTGTATAAAACATAATAATTAATAAGATCACTGTCGCCCCATGGACTGTTTTGTTTTGTGTTTGTTTTCCTCCCCCACGTACTCCATGTTCTCCCTTTGACCTAGATTCTCCCTCATGTTAATTATGTTTATTCGTTCCAGGTGTTTCTTGTAAGCTTCCTCGTCTAGTTTGTTGTATTTATGCCCTGTGTTTTCCTTTGTCCAGCATCTAGTGTTAAACGTCTACTACGAGCGCTATGTGTGTGTTCCCTGTTAGTTTGGTTAATTAAAGACTTACATGGTTCTGGATCTCCTTCGTCTCCTCATTCCTACACAGCAGCAGCACCGTGACAATTACATTAAAATCCATAACTTCATAGAAATATGTATAAAGTGTAGTTCCAGGAGTGATTTCTAGTGGCATGCATACATTATCAACTTATGGAGTGCATCTCAGGGACTGATCTACTGTGGTGGCATGGGGTGGCAACAACTACCACCCTAAGAAAAAGTGTTGCCACCCCATCTTCCACACCAGAATTATCCCAGTATTAGGGCTGTCACGATATTAGATTTTTCACACCTCGGTTATTGTGGCCAAAAGAATTCACAATATCGATATATTGCGATATCTGTAGAAACCTTGGGGAATCAGCCAAATTAATTTTTACTTTGTTTATTTAGTTTTTCTTTTTACCCAGTGAGCATAAGGATACTGATAAACACAGGCCACATGCATTTTCACTTCTTCTCCTTCAGGTCACAGCTGACCTGAGACTCTGGCTTTCTCTGTCTCCCTATGAAATAACAAGAGAGAAAATACTGTCAAGTTCAACAGTAGGATGTATATGTATATGTATAAATATTACCATCAAAACTGATACTTTAACCTGTTAACTTGCATACCCGCATTTTTATCTCTTTAACCTATAGTTGCGCCGGCGCCAATGAAGTCATGCAGTTAATGCGCTTCTAATTCAGTTTTAATGTGCGTGTAGAACGGCCGCAGATGAGGCATTAAAGGGGTCATATGATGCTTTTTTAAAGATCATTATTTTGTGTATTTGGTGTAACAGAATATGTTGACATGCTTTAATGTTCAAAAAACACATTCTTTTTCAAATACTGTACATTATTGTAGGTCCTCTATGCCCCGCCTCTCTCAAACGCTTCGTTTTCTACAAAGTCCCTCCTTCCGACAAGCGCAGTCTGCTCTGATTGGCCAGCTGACCCAGTGCATTGTGATTGGCCGAACACCGCAAGCACTCGTCGGAAATGTAACGCCCCTTACCATAATCACGAGCTTCATCTTTCAAAATAAATGTAAAGACAGAGCCTGAAAGGGGAACAGAGTCT